CGTAGGGCGCTCTGCAATGCTATGACCTCCAGGAGAAAAGGATCTTGGGCATCCAATGGAGGGAAGGTAGACCAGATGATATGAGAGCACACTGTGCACTGGAACAGCTCTTCAAGAGTGGAAGCAGACTCTAAAGTAAATAGCAAGGAAGGCGCCTCTAAGTGCAGTATGCAGCAGTTTATCGAGTAGTAAAGGTTAAAAGCACTTACAAGATAGCAGTCAGATAAAAGCTCATCAGGTATAATTCCAGGGAGAGGAGGAGAAGCAGGCTTTCAGCAGCTGCAGGAGGATAATGAAGTGGATTGGTTCCTGTATATACTGCTGCCCCTCCCATCAATGTGTAAAACGAATGTGACAGGAAGGCCACACAGGCCCCCTAAAGCATGGGACATGGTTGCTATTGCAATCGCTGCATGCATCTGCAGTCTGGGTTGTGGGTGGGGGGGCAGTGTGTGTCTGCTCCCAGCTGTCAGTGTTGTGTGGTTAGTGGGGTGGGGACATCCCAGGTAGGTGAGGAGTACAGAGAGTTCCTGATAGGTGACATGGACCTTGTGCTAAGACAAGGTCATCCAGCGTCCAGGGTGAACTTGCCAATCTGCTCTTCCCCCCGTGTTAAGCATGAGCAACCAATCATCTTACCCACACCTGATAATTCTGATAACTACACCTGATCATTATACCTAGATATAGAGTGCAGAGGTCATAACTGGGTAAGTTACAAAGTGCAAGGTTTTGAAGGGGATGCAAAATTAATGTACAGAGTGCAGGAGTCAATGTTTCTCTCTGTTTTCACCTGGTGATCTGGCCAGTAACACACTTGTATTAGAGGTACAGTCCCCACTCTGGAGGAAGGAGCATAGGGGGCACCTTTGGACAGCAGCAATGTCAGTCTGGGGAGGAAGGTAGTCTTTAGATGGACTAGCAGATTTAGATACACTAACAAATTTAAGTCAAACTCCAGATATTTTAAAAGTAGTTACAACGAACCGTATTGTTTCCCATTTTGGGATAAAGGTTTTACATAAATACAATCTGATCATTGTAAGCACCTCTGTCAGTGGTAAATGGTTTGTCTCATCCCTCTATAACTGATACATTTGCTTTTCAGATTTTTCTTTTGAAAAACAACAGGCTTACTGGGCAGTTCACCTGCTGAAAATAGAAGAAAGCCTAAAAACAGATTCGGTGGGGGCTCTGTGCTGTTAGAATACACTGATCAGTGCTGCAGCTGATTGGCTGCAAGCCACTGATCAAACAAGGTTTTTCAGCAGTCCCATTAGACCGAAGCTGGTTTAAATATCAGCATATTTCTTGTTCAAACATTTTATTGGCATTATTACATAGGGAGAGAGACATTAACAGTAGGCATTGGACATTATATTGACAGCAAGATACAGGGGGAAAATATGTACAGTGTCAATGTCCTTATATAGAGAGGGAGAGCAAGGGTCAAGAAAACAAAGCAGCACAACTTATGATGTCAGGTAAATAAAAATTAACAAGACATATTAACATATGGCAATGAGAATGATCAGCGTGGGTAATGACTCTCCCGTGCTGCATGAGGAGTTAGGGGCAGACAGAGGAGGACCAAGGAGGGGAGGGGAGTGGGAGGGGGGTGGTGGGGATGGCTCCATGGTTGTCAGGGAAGGATGTAGTAATTTGCGTGTTCGGTTAGTACTGGAACCAGATTAGTGCTGAAAATATATAGTTTGCATATTAGGGAAGAAGAAGTGATTCATCAAAATTTTGCGGTAGGAAACAGTCTACCCAAGGATTCCAAACATTCAGGAATTTAGGGATTGTATCAAGGATTGTGGCTTCCACCTTTGCGTGTATCATGGCTTGCGTTACTATAGTTTTAACAGCAGCAATGCTTAGAGTGGGGGATTTCCAGGATTTTGCTATAACCTGCTTGGCTGCTGTGGTTACTTGCAGGATGAGTTTGAATTGCAATGTAGTTACGCCAGGGGGGGCGTAGATTGAGAAGAGCTGTTGTCAGGGTAGAGATCAGCATCTTTCTAATGGGTTGTATACCCAGATCAAAATGTGTCCAGTCCCTGCTAAACTGAATTTTGATCTCTGTGTACCCAGCTTTACCTTATTGCTTGCTTCAGCAGCCTTCATCCAGTGCTGTGACTGATTCCCAGCAGATTCTGTGTACACTTTACAGGCTACAGTCACACTCCAGCCCTTTTATCATACCATAAAAGGTTAATGTTCCTGTATGGTATGTGATGATGCTGAAGTTTGCGTGAAGGAGGAGAGCATTAGAAATGGCTGGAGCAAGGAAACGGGTATATGAAAGAAGCTAGCACACACACACTTTTCTTTACTTTCCAGGAGTTGGGATATATTTTGGCTTTACCCCACTTGCTGTTAATGCTCAGATTCTTGAATATGTTAGGAATATGTTTGACAGCTCCCAGTGCCAACGTATAGTGCAGCTGGGGATCAGGAGCTCGGGTTCAAGTGACAGCCATTCTCCCCACGGCACCCCAAAAGACCTCTGGCGGCACCCCGGTTGAGAGAGGCTGATACAGACTGTTGGAGAAAAGCTTTTCTGGATTTAGGCTGACAGCAAGACTTCCTTGTTTAATAATGAGCTAACAAACTACATTGCCCAGAAGAGCTAGCTAATGGGCAGAGGCAGATAAATACAGAAGCCTGGAAATCAGAGGACAGAAAGTGGATGGTGAGGGCTGGAGAGCAGGTGTGAGGGGATAGCTGTTTGGGACACCAGAGGTCCGAGCTGGGCCAGGCTGTAGATAGTGAAGGAGTGAGAAGAAATTGCTGACAAGCCAGACTGACAATCCTTTGAGCAGACGGACCGGAGTGCTGTCATCTGGAATGATCTGTGTCAAAGGAATCCGGAGAACATGGGGCCCCCAACTGCAGAGAGACTATCCGCTACCTGACCAAGGCCATGTATCAGGTGAGCTGCAAGTTGCAAACATTGCTAAGGTCAGTTACTTTCTTCTCAGTTTAACATCCTTTGTTTCACAAGTTACATGTCTTAAGGCCTAGATTATCCAGTGTATCCTGCCTTGTGACCTACTAATCATTACACTTTCAACACATCAAATCATCAGAGCCTGATGCAATATCTGCACAGTTGTATTAGTGCTTTAGTTCTAATCTGTGTCCTTTGTCAAGGCATTTTTTTTAATCGTAGTTTGCTGCCCTTTTCAAGAGAAACTAACCGCGACAGAAGTGTGTTTCTGCCCCTTTCCTTAATTTCGGCCTAATTTTAGATTTTGCTCTGTGTGTACTAAAGAGACACCATCCAAATTCAACATCACTTAAAGGAGCAGTTCCCTTTTCTTTGTGTTCACCTTCTCTTAAGGAAATCCTACCTTTGCATGACAAAAGATTTAAATCCTCATGTGCACCAACTAGGGCCCCATGGAGCACACAGAATATTGGACACTGCGATTTAAAGGGACATTGACCTATCTAATTAAAGAGCTCTTTCTTTTTCTCAGAATTAAACTCAGCCACCAGTACCTGAGAGCCCAATGTGCGTTAGTATGCCAATTCAATTGTTTGCCCTTCTCACTTGGGAAGGAACATCTCAGGGCTGTGGTTAAATTCTGAATTGCAGGACATCTAGAATTGGTTTGAGTATTAGCTGTTATTCCATGCACATACTTTCTTGTTGTTCTACTGTGCTTGCTTTTTGACCTCAATATACCAAAATATTAGTTCACTCTAAACTATGTGTGAGCCTATTTTTTGGTTGTAGGCAGAGGGTTCTTCTGGCCAAAGGTCTAAGGTGGTGTCAGCAGGAGTTAGGTTTCTAAGGCAGGCTCAGGAAAAACAGGGAACCCTGAAAATTACTAAGCAGCCCTCAAGAGGAAAGGGGACAGACTAAAACATTTAATGCGAACATGGCTTAATGTAGCTTAACGTGTATTAAACTGCCTAAATCTCAATCCATTGACTTGAAACTTTGCACAGCCCAAGTTCTCAACATCCCAAACATGTCCTAGAAGTTTCATAGATTTCAGCCTTCCACAAAAAAAATGGGGGACATTGAGCTTGTTTTTTTGGGAGCTTAATGTGGCTTAATGTACAAAAAAGAGCTTAGATGGTGACCAATTTCCCCCAAACTTCACACATTAGAAGACTTTATCTATGTCAATATATTCTGAAAATTTCAGGTCATTTGGTAAATCACACCAAAAGTTATTCACATTAAGCTATATTTTACAGTGCTAAAACATTTAATGTGAACAACTTAATGTCAAAAGAGCTTAACGTACCATAATGTGCCTAACTCTCAATCAATTGACTTGAAACTTGCACAAAGTTCTTTGCACAGCCCAAAAAAAATGTTCATCAACATCCCAAACATGTCCTAGAGGTTTCATAGATTTATGCCTTCCACAAAGAAAATGGGGGACATTAAGCTTGTTTTTTGGGGGGCTTAATGTGGCTTAACATCCAAAAAAGAGCTTAGATGTTTACCAATCTCCCCCAAACTTAACACAATACAAGACTCTATCTCAACATATTCTGAAAATTTCAGATCATTTGGTAAATCACACCAAAAGTTATTCACATTAACCACTTGCCTACCAGGCACTTATACCCCCTTATTTACCAGGCCAATTTTCAGCTTTCAGCGCTGCCGCACTTTGATTGACAATTGCGCAGTCATGCAACATTGTACCCATATGAAATTTTGATCATTTTTTTCTCACAAATAGAGCTTTCTTTTGGTGGTATTTAATCGCCACTGGGCGCTTTACTTTTTGCGCTATAAATAAAAAATTGCAAAAAATTTTTTAAAAAAAGTTTCTTTGTTTCTATTATAAGATTTTTCAAACAGGTAATTTTTCTCCTTCACTGATGTGCGGTGATGAGGCAGCACTGATGGGCACTGATAGGCAGCACTAAAGGGCACTGATAGGCAGCACTAATGAGGTGGCACGGATAGGCGGCACTAATATGCAGCACTAATATGCAGCACTGATAGGTGACACTGATGATGGGTACTGATAGACGGCACTGACTGGCATCACTGCTGGGCACTGACTGGCGGCACTGACTGGCACAACCGCTGGGCAGTGACTGGTGGCACTGACTGGCAGCACTGCTGGGCTGCACTGGTGGGTGGTACTGGTGGGCAGCACTGGTGGGTGGGCACAGGTGGGTGGCACTGGTGGGCACAGGTGGGTGGCACTGCTGGGCACAGGTAGGTGGCACTTCTGGGCACAGGTGTGTGTGAGACACTGCGGAGTGGCACAGGTTGGTGCACTGCTGGGCACAGGTGGGTGATCTGCTGGGCACAGGTGGGCGGAGCTAGTGGGCGCACTGCTGGGCACAGGTGGGTGGAAATTGTGGGTGGCACTGCTGGGCACCGATCATCAGAGCACTGATCATCAGTGCCCTGATGATCGGTGCCAATTCTCGCTCTGACAACTGCCGGTTCTCGGCAGTACTTTCCTCACGATCTGACAGCGTGAGGAAAGTGCAGCCGAGAACCGGCACTTGCATTTCCCTGTGATCAGCGTGTCATTGGACGCCGCTGATCACGTGGTAAAAGGCCGCTGCGATTGGCCTTTTACCACATCACCCCCTGGGGCGCGCAGGAGAGCGCGTTCTGGGAGGACGTCATATGACGTCCACCCAGAACTGGCCAGCTGCAGTGCAGCCGTCATTCGGCTATCTGCGGTCGGCAACTAGTTAAGCTATATTTTACAGTGCTAAAACATTTAATGTGAACAGCTTAATGTAAAAAGAGCTTAACGTACCATAATGTGCCTAAATCTCAATCAATTGACTTGAAACTTTGCACAGCCCAAGTTCTCAACACCCCCAAACATTTCCTATAAATTTCATGGGTTTTTTATCTCCCACAAAGCAAGTGAGTGACATTCAACTTGTGTAGCCCCTACCGCCTTGTGTAGTGGCCGTAGCGTGGACAGCCAATGGGGGAATATTATGAGTGTGTGTTTGTAGCTCACCAGCCAATCACTGGGGATTTCTTGGCTTGTGGTGCATGCTTGGGAAGTGCATTTTTTCACGTTCCAAATACCAGTTAATATTGATACAAAACCTGCAGGCTTCTGCTAGAAAGCTGAACATGAAGAGGAACTTCATCTTTCAGCATAACGACCCAAGCATATATCCAAATCAACAAAGGAATGGCTTCATCAGAAGATGATTAAAGTTTTAGAATGGCCCAGCCAGAGCCCAGACCTGAATCTGATTGATAATCTGTGTGGTGATCTGAAGAGGGCTGTGCACATGGGATGCCTTCGCAATCTGACAGATTTGAAGAGTTTTTGCAAGGAAGAGTGGGCAAATATTACAAAGTCAAGATGTGCCATGCTGATAGACTCATACCCAAAAAGACCGAGTGATGTAATAACATGAAAAGGTGCTTCAACAAAGTATTAGTTTAAGGGTGTGCACACTTATGCAACTATATTATTTTACTCAATTATTTTTACTTCCCTCCACTGAAAAGATTTCAGTATGTTTTTTCAACTGATTTGTACAGTTTATAGGTCACATTAAAGGTGGAAATTTTTTTACTGAAATCATTTTTCTTTGTCTCATTTGCATACAAAACAGACTGCAAAAGACCAAATGTTTTTCAACTTGATTTTGTGACAGTTTAAAATATCCAAGGTGGTATATTTGTTCATGAGAATCATAAAACCGTTGCTCATTCTTAGGTAAACTGTCTCATTTTCACATCACAGAAAACCCTGACTTTTTTAATAGTGGTATGTCGACTTTTTATATCCACTGTATATATTCATGAGAATTGCTATGTGCTCAATCTTAGTACAGCCTACCTCCAGGCTTGTCCTTCAGAGGTAATGCTTATGTGCGGGAAAGTTTTGACTAGGCCTCAAGCCTAAAAGGGGCCTCACATGCTGATTGAGGAAGAGAATGAGAGAAGCTGGGTGGCTACTGGAGGTACCTGGTACTAGAATGTACCTAAGGGGTAAGTCTGTCCTGACCTATTGAAGATCATATGACTATCCATATTTAGCTGTTCCTCTAATAACCAGTGCCAGCTTGTGCTCCTATTGATTCTGCACTGTGAAATACTGAAAGGGTCTGGTTAGTCTGGAGTTCTTTTCTAATATAGTTTTGACATGAATGTTCTAAACCCTATGTCCTATTTCCCAGTTATGAAGTTCCCCAATAAAGAATTCAAAGATGTACTTTAAACTGACTTGTGCCCAACATTTCTTTGATCGCAGATCCCTTCACTGGCCTAGGATCTGCATGAAAACAAAATGTCAGCCTTCTCTGCCTTTGAGGGTCCACGCTACGCCTCTGGGGGTCAGGGGGGTGCTGTACTTATTTTTAGGGGAACTAATTGTGGCTTAAAGTACAAAAGAGAGCTTGGATGTTATCCAATTTCCTCAAAATGTATACAATAGAAATATTCTATCTATGCCAACTTATTATAAAAAAATCTCAGGTTGTTTGGTAAAACAGACTAAAGATTATTAACATTTAAAGGAGAACTCCGGGCAAAAACTTTTTTTTACATGTTCTTGTTGCTTATCTCCTGCCTTCCCTGAATATGTAATCCATATTCTTGTTATCTGAGTAGTTGTTCTGAAATAGCCTGGGTATTTTTAAATCAAACCCTTAATTCCCATTGGTTTCCTTCTAGTAAGACCGATCACTGCTATGCCTCCTATTCCCACAGACACTGGTCTTTGGTGCGTCCCATCTGTAGTTCTGTTCTCCAGCAAGCAGGGATGTATTTCCATCCCTGCTTATTGCAGTGGGCGGACCAGGATACACAGACTGCCGGTCTGTACTGTCCATGGAGGTGGTGTCCTAGGAATGACAGCCCCCCTGGGCTGCTCTGAAGGCTGCATCCAAGGGAGTCTGTAACCCATGCTGCCTGCACATTGGGGTAGCATAACAACTGGCTCAGAATCCTCTGTTTGCTGTACCAACCGAAGACCAGCTTTCGGAAGACCAGCTTTCCGGTTCTGGTAGCCACTGCCCAATGTCCCCCAGTGAAATCACTGGTTGCTAGGACCGCCTGGTATCTAGCAACCAGTGATGTATATGCAAAGCCACAGAATTCACAACTAGAGGCTCCAACTTTATTCTACTGAGCTGCTCCACCTCTTCCATTGTCCGCCCTGCTTACCATGACTATGGAAGAGTCTGAGAGCTGTGAGTGATTAGGGGAGCAAGGAATAGAGAGACAGAGGATGGCATTCTGTGCTGGAGGAACAAGGGAGTTGAACTAGAGATGGGGGGGCAGCCTGAGCAGAGCAGCAAGCAGCTGGAGAAAGCAGCTGAACACCCTTCACTGGCAGACCTGCAATATCCTTCATGAAAATTCTGCCTCTGCTGCTGTTCTGCACCAACAGTCCTTCTCTGCCTTTACTGACAACTGAGAGTATGGGAAAGGCTGACAGGCTTTAGTGATCACTTTGCTTTGTCTCCTTGTGCTGTGAGCTGAGCAATTGGAGCCAGTAAAGCCTTGATATGTAGTGACATTGAGAGTCTCGTTTCCCCCCCCCCCCCCCTCCTTTCTTTCTCTCTCCCTCTCTGAATAACTTTTAGCATGTTTTATGAAACAACCTGAAATTTTCACAATTTGTTGGTACTTGTAGAGCAGGCTTCACTAAATGGTGGAATGCGGTCCGTACACAGACCAAGTGATAGTTCAGTCCAGACCTCAGCTGCACCACCCAGCAGCCTGAACGGACTCCTTTCCTCCCACCACTGCAGATGTTAAGGATTACTGTCCTGCAGAGGGTGGGAGAAATGGCAAGGTGGACGGGGACCTGGAGACCCCCCCATGCACCCGCCCACCGCAGCAGAGCGGGCGGAAGGAATGGAAGGTCTACAGGGGGAGCAGCAGTTGCCCTCCCCCTGAATACACTTGTCGCCACTGAACCTACAGCAAGGAGAAACTGAATCCCCTCCCCCCCACATTCATTCACCTGCCACCGCTGATGAAGTCACAGCAGAGTGGGCTGGAGGAAAGTAAGGTCTACAGGAGTATGCCCAACCTCTTCCCCCAATGCACTTGTCCACCACTGAACCCATAGTAAGGAGGAGGGTGGGAGGCACGGAGCCTAGTGGCAGCAGCAGGTGTGTGCACCCAGAAGAGGAGTCTACCCTGCCACTCTCCCTGCCCTCCACAACAATGAGTTAAGCTAGGGGAAGATTATGGGGGGCTGTGATGTCAGAGAGGGAGCTGTGATATGGGGGGCTGGGAAGTGAGAGGGGGGAGCTGTGAGGGGTGAGCTCTGATATGAGTGGCTGTGAGAGAGGTGACTTGTAATACTTGGGGAGCTGTGATGTGATAGGGAGAATCTGTGATTTAGGGGGCTGTGATGTGAAAATTGGGAGCCGTGATATAAGGGGCTGTGATGAGAATGGGGGGGGGGGGGGCGCTGTGATATTAAGGTTTGTAAGAGGGGGGCAATAATGTGAGAGGGAGAAGCTATGGTATGGGGGGCTGTGATGCGGGAGGGGGAGCTGTGATATGCCGGGCTGTGATGTAAGGTGGGGGGGAGCTGTATTATGGGGCGGCTGTAATGTGAAAGAGGGGCTATGATATGAAGGGTTTGTGATGTGAGGAGGGGGCTGTGTGATGTCAAGAGGGGGTGAGCTGTGATGTGGGGGGTTGTGATTGCAAAGGCGACTGTGATGTGAGGGAGGGGTTCTATGATTGCAAGGGGGATGTGATGTATGCGTGGCTGTAATGTTGGGGGCTCTGATGTGAAAGGGAGTTGTGATGTAAAGAGAACCTCTGCAGAAAGAAAGTATTAAAAACTGGACCGCCATGAATTTTAAGTACCCGTGATGTAGATTCTTGTATTTTGTGAAGTTTGGGGAAATTGGTAAACATCTAAGCTCTTTTTTGGATGTTAAGCCACATTAACCCCCCAAAAAACAAGCTTAATGTCCCCCATTTTCTTTGTGGCTGGGCCATTCTAAAACTTTAATCATCTTCTGATGAAAGCCATTCCTTTGTTGATTTGGATATATGCTTGGGTCGTTATGCTGAAAGATGAAGTTCCTCTTCATGTTCAGCTTTCTAGCAGAAGCCTGCAGGTTTTGTGCCAATATTAACTGGTATTTGGAACGTGAAAAAAATGCACTTCCCAAGCATGCACCACAAGCCAAGAAATCCCCAGTGATTGGCTGGTGAGCTACAAACACACACTCATAATATTCCCCCATTGGCTGTCCCACGCTACGGCCACTACACAAGGCGGTAGGGGCTACACAAATTGAATGTCACTCACTTGCTTTGTGGGAGATAAAAAACCCATGAAATTTATAGGAAATGTTTGGGGGTGTTGAGAACTTGGGCTGTGCAAAGTTTCAAGTCAATTGATTGAGATTTAGGCACATTATGGTACGTTAAGCTCTTTTTACATTAAGCTGTTCACATTAATTGTTTTAGCACTGTAAAATATAGCTTAATGTGAATAACTTTTGGTGTGATTTACCAAATGATCTGAAATTTTCAGAATATGTTGCCAT